GAATTAACTGCTGACGAAGTTTATAGTTGGTCAGGTTTACAGTGAGCTATGGCGGCAGAAGGTATGTATAAATGACTTCAAAATCAAAAAGGTGTTTGTAAGTGGGAACACAGAAGAGCTCCGGAGCTTCTCTACAGTCTACGCCGAGATAAAATCACCTCTACACGCCGGTGTTGAAGACGGGATGGCGGACGAATCGGAGATGTACGACGGAATTAGGGCTCAGTTTCCTCTAACTTTCGGCAAGCAAGCGCAATCTCAAACCCCTCTCGAAATCGTCCACAGCGCCACCCGCCGCTCCGGCGCCGATGGAAAACCTAATCCCTCTTCTTCTGCGAGCAAAGATAAGCCTTTTCCATCTATATCTTCGACTTCCCAAGCTTGGGTAGAGTCGTTCAAGAAGCCTAACCCTAGCAATTCGAAGAAGAGCGTGACGTTTGGGCCTCCGCGGCCCGGGGCTGATTTGGATTCGGGGAATGGAGAGGAGGAGGAGGAAGAGAAGGAGGAGGCGGCCATGATTGGGCCACCTCGGCCTTCAGTTGCGACGGAGGATGAGGATGAGGTTGTGCCCGTGATTGGACCTCCACGGCCGCCTCCTGTAGACGAGGAGGAGGACGGGCCGATGATTGGCCCGCCCGCACCGCCACCTGCTTCGATTGGATCGGATTCCGACGATGAAATGGAAGAGGGAGAAGAAAATCGGTATCGGATACCGCTGAGCAATGAAATAATGTTAAAAGGGCATTCAAAGGTACCTTATTTTCCCCACTGTTGGTAAAAAACTCACATTTTTATTAGATACATTAGATTAGATTACAGCTTAGACTAGACTAATCCTAAGCCCCGGAGTCAGTCTTAGACTAGACTAATCCTAAGCCCGGAGTCGAGGAGGTAAATCCTGAGTTGCCCAAGAAGCCTCCCAGTTACACGGCTGGAAATTATGGAATTTGGGATCAAAGTAATCTTAAATCAAGTAGAAAGTCTTGTTCCGATCACTTTTGGTATCCGGAAAAACCTTTATTGCTATTTTCGACCCTTTTTGCTTTCAACTTGATTTAAAATCACTTTCAGTTGGTCGGAAATTCCATAATTTCAGTGTCGGTCTCTCTGTTGCTCCCTTTTTATTAGATATTTGACTTATCACCTTCCTTGCATGAATTTGAATGGATATGCTTCTATCTATATATTGTGTTACATAAGGGAAAATTTTAGAATGTTTGAAGAGCCACTAATCTATATTCTTGGTCAGATTGTTTCTGCTCTTGCCGTGGACCATACAGGATCAAGAGTTCTTTCTGGCAGCTATGACTACACTGTTCGGATGTACGATTTTCAAGGAATGAATGCCCGCCTGCAGTCATTTAGACAGGTGGAACCGTTTGAAGGCCACCAAGTTCGTAGTTTGAGTTGGAGTCCCACCTCAGATAGATTTTTATGCGTCACTGGCTCGGCTCAGCTTAAGGTCTGCCAGTTTACTGATTGTACCTGCACCTTCTCATTCAGTGGCAATTAAATGTTAGGGGTTACTGATTTGTTTCTTTGGTGTTCCAGATCTACGATCGTGATGGACTTACCCTTGCTGAATCTGAAAGGGGAGATATGTATATACGTGATCTCAAGAACACTAAAGGCCACATATCTGGGTTGACATGTGGGGAATGGCATCCAAAAGCAAAGGAGACAATCTTAACGTCATCAGAAGATGGTTCACTGCGAACATGGGATGTGAATAACTTTAAATGTCAAAAGCAGGTCATCAAACCGAAACAATCTAGGCCTGGGAGAGTTCATGTGACCACATGTGGTTGGGATCGTGAAGGAAAAAGCATTGTAGGTGGTATAGGAGACGGTTCTATACAGGTAATTTTCTTCTGAAAGCTTTCTTTGGTTAATTTTATTAAAAATAGAATACGGGTATCTGTCTTGTATTGAAATTTGAAAAATTACCCCTTCATACTATCTTTTCTCATCATGATGTTTTCTTATTTCTTAAAGATATGGAATCTTAAGCCTGGATGGGGAAGCAGACCAGACCTATATGTAGCGAATGCACACTCAGATGATATTACTGGACTCAAGTTTTCCAGTGATGGAAGGATTCTATTGTCAAGAAGCTTTGATGGTTCATTAAAGGTATCAATCAAGGCCATTCTGAATTTATGTTCTTTATTATTCTACTATAGATGAGTCAATTTCTATATTTTCTGTCCTTCATAGGTTTGGGATTTGCGTAAGATGAAAGAACCCCTTCAGATATTTAACGATCTTCCGAATCATTACGCTCAAACAAACATTGCATTTAGTCCCGATGAACAAATCTTTTTGACTGGGACATCAGTTGAAAGGGATAGCACAACTGGAGGCTTGCTATGCTTTTATGATCGGACAAAGCTGGAACTTGTGTCGAGAGTTGGAATCTCCCCTAGTTGCAGTGTTGTGCAGTGTGCCTGGCACCCAAGGCTAAATCAGGTACTCCATATTATATTGTTTATCGATAGCCATTTCAAATAAGGGAAAAATAAAGGAATATCAAGCTGAGACTAATTTTTCCGTTAAATATATCAGAACTTCCTGAAACTTGAGAGTTTGCTAATTTTCCCGAGCATTGTTTTAGGTGTTTGCAACGAGTGGGGATAAGCGCGAGGGAGGAACTCATATCCTATATGATCCAACCCTCAGTGAAAGAGGAGCTCTTGTTTGTGTTGCACGTGCACCGAGGACAAAGTCTGTTGATGATTTCCAGGCACAGCCTGTGATTCACAATCCACATGCACTACCCTTATTCCGGGACCAGCCTAGCCGTAAACGCCAGCGCGAGAAAATGTTGAAAGACCCCCTCAAGGCTCATAAGCCTGAACTGCCTATAACAGGGCCTGGTCACGGTGGAAGGGTCGGTTCAACCAAGGGAAGCTTGTTAACACAATACCTTCTCAAGGTAACATCTTTTTTTGTTCCCATGCCTCATATCCCCCATGATGTCCAAAAAATCTTATCCTCTTCCATTTAGATCAACTTTTTTTTTTTGTTAATCTTTACTTTGCCCATTATCTTCTTCTTTTTGTTATTTTTTGCTGTCTCTTACAATTGAAGGGTCCAAAACTAAGATATTACGCTCTGTATTGCAGCAAGGCGGGTTGATCAAGGAGACATGGATGGACGAAGATCCTAGAGAAGCTATCCTAAAGTACGCTGATGTAGCTGCAAATGAACCAAAATACGTGGCTCCAGCATACGCTCAAACACAGCCTCAACCGCTCTTCCAAGCATCGGATGATGAAGACGAAGAGAAGTGATTAGAAATTATTTCGAACTGTTCCCTGTTCCCGAGCTACTGATCCATTTGTTATCGTGAGCAGCGTAATTGGCTAATTGCTTCTGATCATTCTGCATATTGAGTGAATTTCTTGGATGAATTTGTTGCAGCTCAACTATGTGGATTAGAGTGGAAAATGCATTTGTATGCTAGTCTTTATCAGGATAGTTGAATTGGAATTTGGTAACCATACAATACAAAGTACTTTTTGGGAACTTGATGCTCTTGATGTAATCTTGTTCTAGTTTATGTAAATCAGATCAGGATGAAAATCCTGTTTCTTCAAATTCCCAAACACTGCATTCCTTGAATTCCCAAGATTTTTATGATTTTGCTTCATTAAATAAACAATACTTTTTTGTTTAGTCTCTGGTTGTCTGTCCTTTATCTGTGTTACTATGCAACTAATATCCAGTGTGAAAATTAAAATAAGTAGATAATAACTATAGTTTTTTAAAAGGAAGATTGCAATTTTAGTCCCTAAGTTATAAAGTAATTGTAAATTCATCCATGAGTGTTGGTTAATGGTCATGCTCACTTTACATCTTTTCAAGCTCACTTTTTGTCCATGAGTTATACTAAAATTGTAAATTTAATCCCTAATGTTTTATTAGTAAAATGACGAAAAGTGCAACATCAATGATAACTTAAGGAGTATGACAAACACTTAAGAATGAATTTTACAATTATCTTATAACTTAAGGACGAAATTGTAATTTTTCTTTTTTTTTTTTTTAAAAAAATGTGAAAGTTAATTATTAATATAAAATGGGGAAATCACACTTTTGGTCCCTCAATTAGTGCCCAATCTGCAATATCATCCTTAGTTCCCAATTTGAACACATTTAGTCCCTCAATTATTCGATCATTAAGCAGATTTGGTCCTTCTGTCTAATACTCGTTTAACACCGTTTAAAGCATGGGTAAAAGTGGAATTTCACATAGCATTGTTGATGGAGGTGGAGAAAGAGTGGGCATAGCCGCCGGAACGTTGGTAAATGAGGTTGGCATAGGGATGTTAGCTGGCATGGGGGGAAGAGTGAGCTTTGGGCGGAAGACGGCAAGGTTGGGAGATGTATATTAGGCAAGTTGAAGGCGGGCATCGCCGGCAAAGGTGGAAGTGTGGTGGTTGGCATGTTAGGAATGGATGGCATTTGTGGTAAGGTTGGTTGAGGCAGAGAGGGAATCGTCGGCAACGGTGGGGCGCTGGAAATTTGCAGGAAACAGTGAGTGGCGGAGTTGGTGTTGATGCTAATTGCAAAACACAATAACGTTATGTGATCTCTTATCATCCCCTTTACGCTCATTCTCATTTCTTGTCTTAGTTTCAGCAAATGCACCCAAACCAATGGGTGAAAATGGAGTCCAAGAGTCCATGCCATTTCCACCACAGATCGGCATAAACTCTGTGCATAAGAACTTACCCATTGCCGCCATATATGGCGGCGGCGGCGGCGGAATCGCCACCGCGTGAAAAGCCCTTCTGCATTTCTCATTGTGACACCTCATTCACCAATCTATGAAAACCATAGGATACTCATACACATAGTAGCAGTAGGGACACATAGTCCAGAAGTTGTGTTCCGACTCGCTTTTAAATTTCAGATTTATTTTCAGCTCCTCGTCGAACAGAGCTCTCTTTGCCGGCACAAAAAGCACTAACTCGGCATCAACGACGAGTCGATACGCCTCTTCCGCTAAAGCAAAGTGGTTTTCTCTTGGGCTTAAAATGTCATAGAGTTTTTCGACGCGGGTTTTAATGAGGTCAAAATCTCCGGTGAAGCGAAGGACGCCGAGTATTGAATAATAGTCGGGCCGCTGACCTGAAGCGCCGTCTTCCGTCGCAGAGATGACGGCTGCTATAGCGAGCAGTTGGGTCGGACCGGGGTGGATTGGGTCCAATGCTTGTGCCCGACAAGCATTTTTCCGGCAGTCCTCGATGTTCTTGGCTTGGAGGAAGAACTCGGCGGCTTTGAGGTAGAGCTGGGTTCTCGATTCGCGTCCTAAACGGTGAAATTCCACTTTTACCCATGCTTTAAACGGTGTTAAACAGAGTATCCGACAGAAGGATCAAATATGCTTAATGGTTGATTAATTGAGGGACCAAATGTGTTCAAATTGGGAACTAAGGATAACATTGCAGATTAGGCACTAATTGAAGGACCAAAAGTGCGATTCCCCATATAAAATTGAATTAATTATTTTTAGTATGATTGAGTGAATATTTTGAATTTTTGATAAAATAGCGGTACAGATAGGTAGGATTGAAAAAAAAAAAAATCATCTACTAACATTTCATATTAAAATAAATTAAGTATTCTTAATGTGATTTTGTTGACAATTTATGAATCAGTAAAAGTTAATTTTTTTCTTTCTGAGAAGTAATATGTTTATAATGAAATTACTAATAACGACGAAAAATAATTAAAAAAAAAAAATTATACAACGAAACTAATAGCATAATTGAAGCCTCAATTTTAGTTATATGTTATATGTGACTCTTTCTCTTGCAAATTTTCATTGATATTTTAGAATACTAAATTTGCAATCTAAAATCTCAAAATGGAGAGAAATTTTGTTGAAGAGATAGCAGATAAATTTGTAATAAAATGTATATTCTAATTAAAGTAATATTTTGAAATCGAAAATGAAAATTTGCAATATAAAGAATAATAATGTTAATTTAAACGCCGAACACATTATGCTCAGATGGCATGTAGTGACATCTCTTATATGAAAATTTATGATATATATATATATATATATATATAATTAAAGTAATATTTTGAAATCGAAAATGAAAATTTGCAATATAAAGAATAATAATGTTAATTTAAACGCCGAACACATTATGCTCAGATGGCATGTAGTGACATCTCTTATATGAAAATTTATGATATATATATATATATATATATATATATATATATATATATATATATATATATGAAAGTAACGACTCAAATACAATAAAAGGGTGGCGTTGTCCACTTGTCCCCAACCTGATCATACTATACATAAGGCGTACAGTTTAATATTGCGGGGAAAGACGAGGGAAAAAACAAGAGGGGAAAAGAAGATATGAAATGTGTTATTCCTTTTTGTCATGGGAATAGTTATTCCCAAGTCCATTAGTATTAGATATTCCTAATTCATCAAGAATACCTCTACAAATCTTAATAAATAATCTCTATCAAACTTTTAGAATTAATCACTTAGCTCTCTATCTCTAAGAACATAAAAGCTCTCTCTCTCACTTCACTCTCTTAAAAACTCTTTTGTTAGTTTCCTAACCAATACATTGCCGAAGAAACACAGATGGCGGAGGTACCACCACTTTGCCTATCAGAGACGTTGCCAGAAACTCTTTTGGGACATACTCTCTACGTCGGTGATCTCCACCCGGAAACCACGGTAGCGGATCTTGAGGCCGCATTTTCTGTTATTGGCCGGTTGGATTCCTTGGGGATTCGCAGAGATGCTGCTGGGAAATCTCTTTGCTATGCTTTCGTCAACTTCTTCTATATCTCCCATGGTAACAAACCATACAATTTTTCATATATATATATATATATATATATATATATATATATATATATATATATATATATATATATATATATTTGCGTTTAATCTTAGGTCTAGTCTTATAATTTTATAGGTCCGGCCATGTAAAGAAAAGGCCCTATATGAAATTAATATATATTTTCATAACTTGGTTGAATGATTATAATTCGCAAATAATTATTTATTTATATATTTTTTTTGTGATCAGCTATGAAGGCTCTGGCATGCCTAAATCATAAAACCCTGAGAGGAAAGGCGATGAGGATTATGTGGTGGCATAAGGAATCAAAACTAAGAAAATCTGGGATTGGGAATGTTTTTGTGAAGAACCTTCCTGCTTCCATCGACAGTGCTCAATTAGAGAGCATGTTTAACAAATATGGCAAAATAGTGTCTTGCAAAGTTGTCGAGGAGGAAAATGGAAAGAGCAAATGTTTTGGATTTGTTCAGTTTGAAACACACAATTCTGCCATTTCTGCTATCACTTCCCTCCATGGAGCAGTGTTTCAAGGGAAGAAGTTGTAAGTTGCATACTCCCTGACATGTAGTAAGTTCGTTATTTCTTATATATGTTTTTGTGTTTCTTTAATTTTCTTAATGTTTTATTACATTCTCATCAAATTTTTCAGATATGTGTCCATATTTAAGAAGAAAGAAGAGAGGGTGATGGATGCATTTAAAGAGCAAAAATTCACTAATTTGTATGTGAAAAATTTCGGTTGCAATATGACTGAGAATCTCCTAAGAGAGAAATTCTCCAAATATGGGAAGGTTAATAATGCTGTGATTATGAGGGATGAAGAAGGGAATTCAAGAGGATTTGGGTTTGTCAGATTTGATTCGGATGAAGATGCTAGGAAGGCGGTTGAAGCTCTTAATGGTCAACTAATAGGTACTTACGAACATGCATGCATGAATGCATGCTTTGATGCTTATTATTATGTAGTATTTCTTATGTCTAAAATTTGATTGTATGCTAATGTAATTAATTTCTTTGTCATCAATTCCAGGATCAAAGAAGATGTTTGTTGGAAGGGCTTTAAAGAAGGCCGAAAGGGAAATACTTTTGAGAATGGAGAACACACCTGAGGAGATGTCTTGTTGAGTGTATAGTAGATAAACATAAATATATCGTTCAATTATAACTTAAACTTTTAATTGAGATGTAACACATACTTAAATTAAAGTTACAAATTCATGTCTTGTGATTTTTTTTTTCTTTCAACATTACAAATTCATGTCTTGTGATTTTTTTTTTTCTTTTAACATTTGAATGGGACAGAGATCACGGGGTTCGAATTCAAGTGTATTACTTATATATATATATAATAATTACTGTGGTTTACTATAAAGTTACATCTCAGATTTTAATTTGTAAATCAATTAAAATGAGAAATAGATAAATAATAACAAATAGATTTGTTAATTGATTAAATTTAGTCTTTTAATATGGTTTGGTCCATGTGCATCATTATAAACCTGTTGAGTGACCTTAACCTAACCCGTTTGTCTACCTGTAGTATTTACAATAAAGCCCAGTTGAGTTACACTACATTTGAGAATGTGTATATATAACTGTTCCGGTATGAAAAAACTGATACAACATTTGTCACAGAAAGTGCTGTAGTTTAAGCATCATGGCACTGTTTTTTTTTTGTAAATGGAGAGTATATTTGAAATCCTAAACCTATACATACAATATATCAATCCTACCAAAAAAAAAAAAAAAAGTGGGAATGGTGACAGGACAGTATGAATGTGTGATCTGGGAAATGCTCGTCTATAACAGTGAGAAACTCGGGGCTGCATCAGAAGCCGATCCTACGCGTTTAGTGACCATACAATACAAAGTACTGTTTGGGAACTTGATGCTCTTGATGTAATCTTGTTCTAGTTTATGTAAATCAGATCAGGATGAAAATCATGTTTCTTCAAATTCCCAAACACTGTATTCCTTGAATTCCCAAGATTTTTATGATTTTGGTTCATTAAATAAACAATACTTTTTTGTTTAGTCTCTGGTTGTCTGACTTTTATCTGTGTTACTATGCAACTAATATCCAGTGTGAAAATTAAAATAAGTAGATAATTAATATAGTTTTTTAAAAGGAAAAGGTAATTGTAGAATTCGTCCCTTGGTCATGTTCACTTTACACTTTTTCATGCTCATTTTTTGTTCTTGAGTTATACTAAAATTGTAAATTTCATCCCTAATGTTTTATTAGTAAAAGGACGAAAAGTGCAACGTAAATGATAACTTAGGGAGTATGATCAACACTTAGGGATGAATTCTACAATTATCTTATAACTTAAGAACGAAAGATGCAATTTTTCCTTTTTTAAAATGTGAATGCTAATTATTAATATAAAATTGAATTAATTATTTTTAGTATGATTGAATGAATATTTTAAATTTTTGATAAAATAGTGGTACGGATAGGTAGGATTGAAAAAAATATCATGTAGTAACATTTCATATTAAAATAAATTGTATTCTTAATGTGATTTTGTTGACAATTTATGAATCAGTAGAAGTTTTTTTTTTTTTTTTTTTTTCTTAGAAGTAATATGTTTATAATGAAATTACTAATAACGACGAAAAATAATTAAAAGAAAATATACAACGAAACTAATAGCATAATTGAAGCCTCAATTTTAGTTATATGTTATATGTGACTCTTTCTCTTGCAAATTTTTATTGATATTTTAGAATACTAAATTTGCAATCTAAAATCTCAAAATGGAGAGAAATTTTGTTGAAGACATAGCAGATAAATTTGTAATAAAATGTATATTCTAATTAAAGTAATATTTTGAAATCGAAAATGAAAATTTGCAATATAAAGAATAATAATGTTAATTTAAAAGCCGAACATATTATGCTCAGATGGCATGTAGTGACATCTCTTATATGGAAATTTATGAGATATATATATATATATATATATATATATATATATATATATATATATATATATATATATATATATATGAAAGTAACGACTCAAATACAATAAAAGGGTGGCGTTCTCCACTTGTCCCCAACCTGATCATACTATACATAAGGCGTACAGTTTAATATTGCGGGGAAAGACGAGGGAAAAAACAAGAGGGGAAAAGAAGATACGAAATGTGTTATTCCTTTTTGTCATGGGAATAGTTATTCCCAAGTCCATTGGTATTAGATATTCTTAATTCATCAAGAATACCTCTACAAATCTTAATAAATAATCTCTTTCAAACTTTTGGAATTAATCACTTAGCTCTCTATCTCTAAGAACACAAAAGCTCTCTCTCTCGCTTCACTCTCTTAAAAACTCTTTTGTTAGTTTCCTAACCAATACATTGCCGAAGAAACACATATGGCGGAGGTGCCACCACTTTGCCTATCAGAGACGTTGCCAGAAACTCTTTTGGGACATACTCTCTACGTTGGTGATCTCCACCCGGAAACCACGGTAGCGGATCTTGAGGCCGCATTTTCCGTTATTGGCCGGTTGGATTCCTTGGGGATTCGCAGAGATGCTGCTGGGAAATCTCTTTGCTATGCTTTCGTCAACTTCTTCTATATCTCCCATGGTAACAAACCATACAATTTTTCATATATATATATATATATATATATATATATATATATATATATATATATATATATATATATATATATTTATATATTTATATATTTGCGTTTAATCTTAGGTCTAGTCTTATAATTTTATAGGTCCGGCCATGTAAAGAAAAGGCCCTATATGAAATTAATATATATTTTCATAACTTGGTTGAATGATTATAATTCGCAAATAATTATTTATTTATATAATTTTTTTTGTGATCAGCTATGAAGGCTCTGGCATGCCTAAATCATAAAACCCTGAAAGGAAAGGCGATGAGGATTATGTGGTGGCATAAGGAATCAAAACTAAGAAAATCTGGGATTGGAAATGTTTTTGTGAAGAACCTTGCTCCTTCCATCGACAGTGCTCAATTAGAGAGCATGTTTAACAAATATGGCAAAATAGTGTCTTGCAAAGTTGCCGAGGAGGAAAACGGAAAGAGCAAATGTTTTGGATTTGTTCAGTTTGAAACACACAATTCTGCCATTTCTGCTATCACTTCCCTCCATGGAGCAGTGTTTCAAGGGAAGAAGTTGTAAGTTGCATACTCCCTTTTTACTACCTGCCATGTAGTAAGTTCGTTATTTCTTATGTTTTTGTGTTTCTTTAATTTTCTTAATGTTTTATTATATTCGCATCAAATTTTTCAGATATGTGTCCATATTTAAGAAGAAAGAAGAGAGGGCGATGGATGCATTTAAAGAGCAAAAATTCACTAATTTGTATGTGAAAAATTTCGGTTGCAATATGACTGAGAATCTCCTAAGAGAGAAATTCTCCAAATATGGGAAGGTTAATAATGCTGTGATTATGAGGGATGAAGAAGGGAATTCAAGAGGATTTGGGTTTGTGAGATTTGATTCGGATGAAGATGCTAGGAAGGCGGTTGACGCTCTTAATGGTCAACTAATAGGTACTTACGTACATGCATGCATGGGTTTGTCAGATTTGATGCTTATTATTATGTAGTATTTCTTATCTCTCGAATTTAATTGTATGCTAATGTAATTAATTTCTTTGTCATCAATTCCAGGATCAAAAAAGATGTTTGTTGGAAGGGCGCTAAAGAAGGCCGAAAGGGAAATACTTTTGAGAATGAACAACACACCTGAGGAGATGTCTTGTTGAGCATATAGTAGATAGACATAAATATATTGTTCAATTATAACTTAAACTTTTAATTAAAATGGAGCACATACGTCAATTAAAGTTACAAATTCATGTCTTGTGATTTTATTTTTCTTTTATCATTACAAATTCATGTCTTGTGATTTTTTTTTTCTTTTAACATTTGAATGCGACAGAGATCACGGGGTTCAAATTCAAGTTTATTACTTAAATATATAATAATTACTATGATTTACTATAAAGCTACATCTCGGATCTTAATTTGTAAATCAATTAAAATGAGAAATAGATAAATAATAACAAATAGACTTGCTAATTGATTGAATTTAGTCTTTTAATATGGTTTGATCCATGTGCATTATAACCCGGTTGAGTGACCTTAACCTAACCCGTTTGTCTACCTGTAGTATTTACAATAAAGCCCACTTGAGTTACACAACATTTGACAATGTGTATATATAACTGTTCCTGTATGAAAAAACTGATACAACATTTGTCACAGAAAGTGCTGTAGTTTAAGCATCATGGCACTGTTTTTTTTTTTTAGTAAATAGAGAGTATATTTGAAATCCTAAACCTATACATACAATTCATCAATCCTACAAAAAAAAAAAAAAGTGGGAATGGTGACCGGACAGTAAGAAATGTGTGATCTGGGAAATGCTCATCTATAACAGGGAGAAACTCGGGGCTGCATAAGAAGCCGATCCCTCGCGTTTAGCTTAGATCTATTCAATCCTCATAGCTCGAGAGGCGCGCATCTGACAACACGCTGAACAGTTGTGTATCGATGAATGACTGCAAATCGAGGCGAAGTGAAAGATGATCAAAATTGCAGGAAAATGAATAGTTATTAGACTGAAGGTTGAATAAAAACATATATATATGTATATGTTTTACCTTAACAAATGTTCGATCACGAGTAGGAAAAGAAGAAATAAAGCTATCCTTCATCAATATAGAAACCTGACACACCAAAAGGCGAAAAATATAATTAGTTTCATACGTAAAAAGGAATTTTGAATCGATCGAAAGTTGGTTCATCAAACAAATTAAACAAACCCTGTCGTTGTTTGATTGCACGCTAGTGATGGCGTGAGACCTCAAATCAGAACACAGGGATTCCAAGTAATGCCCCATAATGTTCAAGAATTGAGCAGCAGCCTCGGTCTGCATACTCAAACAAAACACGTAAAATGCAGATCAGATACATACAGATGTCAAGATGTCAACAATATATATAGTAATGTATAGACTGCATAAAAAAATTTATGTTATTGCCTAATATAATGGGTAACATTAAACCGAGAATGAATGTTGGCAACCTGTACTTCGTTGCATCTATATACTGGATGCCTTTGAGCAATGAGATCCTCACGTGCCAATCTAACGTGGATTGGATGCAGTTCCGATACGAGCTCCTTAAACCGAGGAAGTAATGGCAAGTGACACGGTTTTGCCTGCACCCCACATCGGACTCACAAAATCAGAAAAAACATGAAGAGTACAACACAACACACTCATAGGTAGACGAGAGTATATGTATATCAGCGGGACAAAAATTCCCCAAATTTGGAACAAATCTCCACCGATAAACTATAAAGCACCTGCCCTTTTTGGAAGAGAGAGAACAAGATTAAAGAACCAACCTAGAACAGATTCTTGAAATTTAAATTCTCCAAGAATAAAACAAACATTTAATGAGGCTTCAAAGCAATTTGCAAATGGGACAGACAGATGTTTAATCAAAGATAAAAGACAATTATTGGATTTGCTTCTTCTGCTGTCCTATCAAATGTTCCTTAAAAGCTGAAACGGGGGAAGTGAAGAGGCTGAATGTGATCCCGAAAGCTAAACTAACCTGGTCTTTTGCGACATTGACATAAATAAGGTTCGAGATTTTTGTCTTCAAGTCAGCTGGTTTCTGTTGCAACCCAACCTGAAAAATCACCAACCGACAAGAAACTTCTAATTGAATTACTACCTATCAAGAGCCCCGACTATACATGGAACATATACTAGATTGGGAAGTTAAAATGGAGAATAATGAAAAGCAAAGGGCAGATGAAGCAACTTATCGACTTCATTAATATTAATATATGAAAAAAAAAAAAAAAAAAAAAAAGGAACTTACAATGAAAGGAACAGGGGCATCAAGCAAATCAAGCATCTTCCGTGGCAAAATCTGTTGGAATTTGATAAAGCACATACATGCTACACTCAGTCATTCAAACATTAAAGAGAAGAAACGGGAAAGATGCATACAGAAAAGAGAGAAGAACGAGGGGAGAAAGGGAAAAAGACGCACATGCTACAGTTCACTCATTCAAACATTAAATACCTACAGCATTCATTCATTCGTATAAAAAAATATTCGGTGTTGGAGAACTTACGGGAAGAAATAAACTCTGCCACTGAAAGGGACGAATAATTGGAATTAAAGATAACACAAGAGCCGAAAGAATTCCCTGTATTTGTTGGAAAGTGATACAAAAAGGTAAGAAGCAATGGAGACCCACTAACTGTTAATCAAATGCAACAAAAATTTAAACTCGGAAACATCATAGCTTACCAAATTTGGGCATATGACAACCACTTGTTTTTCCAGTAGCACACCCGTAACCAAGGCCAAAATCTGAAAAAAAAAAAAAGATGGAGCATACATCAAACCTATGTTGCAGAAGGCGCTATTTGGGTGTCCGGAGGGCGCCTAGCGCCTAGGCGGCCTAGTAATCCGAGTATATCGTCTCCACTTTTCCCACTTAGGGTTAGGAGTTGTTAGACTGTAATAATCCCTCAAACTAGTCAACTGCATATGTCAGATGGTTAGTTGAGTACATGACTGGAGAAATGAGTAGCCAAGTTGGGAAAAAAACCACTCGACCGAGTTAAGCGCAAACTCGGTCGAGTTAGGCGCTCAACTCGGCCGAGTCAACGGCTAGTTAGTCAGTCAACCGACTAAAAGCCGCCTAGGGCTGAAATCATCTTGGCCTAGGGGCGCCTAGTCGTGCCTAGACCGATTTTTATAACACTGCATCAAACTCAAGTTCTAGTTTAAAGGACATTTTCTAAAATTCGAGACCACCGGTTAATTTTCCCCGCAAGTATATTTACACTCCAATGATGAACTTCCATGATCAAGAAGGAAAATATTGGCTAAGTGATAGCTAGAAACTAAACTAGTTATAGTAACAATTAAAAAAAATAAAAAAATTACAGTTTCAAGGGAAAGAGCTCGACAAATTGTAGCAGTTGTCCATACTGATAGTGCAACGGCTTCCTCAGCAGCAGATAAATCGAAATTGGCCTTGATATAATATTATAATATTAGTATTCATTTCTAAATTTGCATGTAAACCTTCAAAGATAGACAGTTAAAGAGAAAAGGTCCCACCTTAGCAATTACTTCTAAATCCTGCAATTCAACAGCTAAATGTTTATAGCTAAATCCAAGTTCAGAAACTGAACATCTCTTATACTCGATTGCCGGTAGATGCTCGAGTGGATGAAAAACAATCTTACTTCCCCGTGATGGAAGAGACAAGGAATTATAACTGCAAAGTATCTGCAGCAACTCGTTCTTATTCTCCTGCCAAAGGAAACAAGCAAGGGAAGTCAGGATAGAGGAGTTCATCGGTAGGTGAAACACGAAACTACAAATTTTTATTTAAGCATGAAAGGTCTCCTCACCCGAGCCCATTCCATTATTGCATCTGCAGCATCTCTCTCATTGCTCTCGCAGATTTCATCTTCATCCTCTGATAACAGAGTCCTCGATGTACTGAAAATTAAAAACAGACTATGATACAAGGAACTAACAGTCAGAGGTAGCATGAAAAAGCTACTGACCACCTCACTGAAATTTGGACACAAAAACTTGGAGACTATAATGGTTTTTCTCGATTTAGTCCTCAACTATAGTAGTTTCTCTCAATTTGCCCTGTTTGGTAACATGGTTAGCTTATCAGCCAATTTTGGTTTATTTGACCACTATTAACTGTTTGACTTGGTTAAACAACCAATATAAGTGTTTGATTAATTAGCTTTATGTAATAGCTTATTACTCCAAAATGCTAAAATTCAAAAAGCTACTCAAAGCAGCTTTTTGAGAAAGTCATTTTGCATGTAATCAGCTATCAGCTAATTTACCAAACATCTTTCTACAATCAACTAATGCTATCAACTAGTAAAACCCACTAACCCAATAAGCTAACAGCTATTTACCAAACACCCTTTAGTCTTTGATTCTAACAGCCGAGGACTCAATACGGTAAAACCATTGAAGTCCAAGACCTAATTAAGCACAAAAAGATGTTTAGGACTAAATCGAGAAAAACCACTATAGTCGAGGACTAAATTGGGTATTAACTCATATTTTAACCATACAGTTTAGTAGAGTTTTATGGTATGTAAATCTCCTATATGATACGACCCACGTATATTCTAAAGTGTGTGAATAGAAAACAGAAATTATCCATTATGTTATTCTTGTTATCAAATGCATAAGAAAATGATAAATAAACAGGAAAAAAATATATATCAAAAGAGATCTACTACCTGAATACGGAATCAGAACTGCTAAATTTACGGTGTCTAGAGCCAAAATTTGATGATCCAACTTCTGAGGTTTGGCCACCATCATTGTTCCTTTCAGCAAAATCGGGGCGGCTTTCTGAGCCCTCAGATGCACAATCATCAAAGGAGCCAAACTTCATTTCACCATTCTTGCCCAATTCTTTCAGTGAACAATGATCCGATGCCTCACTAGCACTCATGCTTGCAGGAGACAAAACTTCCCACCTCGAAGAAGATAATGTCACCTCGTCATCACATATTATCCCAGCAGCGGCCGCAGTTAGAGCAATTGCACTGTCAACGGGGATGGCGGATTCCATCCAATCTGTATCACGATCCCTATAGGTCGAAGAATGATTTCCATTTGATTGATGATTCAGTTTGGCTGGAGGTGGGGAAGGGACATAGTCAGAAAGACTAATTTCGGAGATCAAATTGGTTATCCTATCTAGACGGTCCTGTGCAATGAGACTGCATCCAAGTAAATAAATATACTGAGTGCTCTCATGTTAATCGGTATAAATGACTAATCGAAGATAAAATAATCCGTATCCACTAAATGCTGACCTGTTCAACATCTCGTAATGTAATTCAAAGAAAGGAACTCTCGTTAAAACACAGTAACAGCGAGGTGCAGAAACCAAAAACCGACTGCTACCTAAAGGTGACTGGCAAGGAGCCGACGAGTTTACATAGATAGCAGGCGGTTTTTGAACAATTTCTCGTACTTGTAAACAAACACCATAAAGGGTAGCACTGTCCCCCACCTGATCAAAGGCCGATACAGTATTTGTCAGCACATACATAAACCATACAGTATAATATTGCGGGGAAACGAAAGGTAGAATAGAACACAAGAAACACTATATGAAAAGTACCTTATCGAAGTCAATTAAATAAAGGATATATTACCAAGAAACACTATAAGAGATGATAGAAAATAGTACAGTATTACGTAAAGAACGAGTATGTTGGTCCATTGAAAATCAGAAAGATCAGATACCAATGATGATAATAAAAGGATTATTTTAACTTACCTTGAAAGAAAATAAAAAGGAAAAGTCATCTCTGCTTAAATGCTCCTGAAGACGTAATAAGAAAGAAAACAAAAGTGTAAGTTCATCAAAGATACACTTACTTTTATCTTCACTTTCCTAGAACCATATGACGGTCCAAGTAACATTGACTGTATAATTATGGAGTACTTTAGAAAGTGTTATCCTTTCAAACGGTTCAAACCACACGTACCTGCCCATAGATCAGTTGATTCAATTCACTCAATGACGGAGTCTTCTCTAATACATGTGCCTTAATTAAAGAAGAGATATATAAGTATGAATGCCGTATCCTTTTCCTGAGATTGATTAGTTAGGAGATATAGATCTTTCGAACAAATTAAACCACTAAATTTTCAACTAGAAAAATGGAACATACGAAAGAAGTTAGCAACTCAAGCGATGCACAAAAACTATCAATTTTCTTGGGCAAAACCATTTGTAGATGCTGCATAAAACATCTTAAATTACTCATAATTCATAATTATATCTGAAGATCTGGAAATCTGCCCACCAGTGAAGAGATTCCCCTGCTACTTCAGGCAGCCAAACGATTACTTTAGTTGCAATCTAGTTATCATTATAGCACTGTGGAATAATACCAATACTGTCATAAATTCTCCCTAATTTTTTTTTTTTATGACGAGGGAAACCCGTAGCCACTACCTGAGGGTGTGCACTGGATAAACCCCGCCTTGTGACCCCAGCCGGCAAAGGACCACAAGGAGATAAACCAACCTAGGTTGCCCATAGCGGCTCAAACCAAGAAGGCCAATAGGCCGCTCCCTCTGGGAGTCTCCCTAATGACCTTTAAGGTATTCAAGTTGGGTGGTATGAAAGAAGCATCAAGAAATCCAGCTAAAATTCATCAAAACAATAGTAAGTAGTAACATCTTGGAGCAGCAGAAAATACACCTTAACACCTCCAGGAAAGCAGAAAGCAGCCAAATCGTTTGAATGCATAGTCAGTTTCTTTCCAGGAGGATATTTAAAAAGTATCTGCAAAGAGGAACAGTATCATAACCAAAAAAAAAAAAAAACACTTAAGCACCATATTACTGAAAATGAAATTATTTCAGCAATGAGGAAGAAATAGAAGCATTAAGCATGTCTGTTAATATGGTGACGCCACAGGTTTAGTCTTGACAACGAAGATAATTTTGTTTTAAAAATGAATTCTAGCAATCTAGCATAGGCATAGAAACTAAAGGAATTAAATGATATTTCCAGCTTCATATAAGTTCCAATTTCTATAGAGAAATTTCCCAATGATATATGTGAAACGATGATGTTATACAGAAGACAACATGGTTGTGCAGTTAACCAATGAATGAAAGCAGCATTATTCCAGAATTTCTACTGAAAATGTCAGAATAAACTAGCCACAGAGAAACTATGTTTTGCATTCAAAAAAGAAGCAAAGTCTGGAAGATCTAAAAGCAAGTTTAAAACTCAAACGAAGCGACTAAACCTGAGGTTCTAGAGATGGAAGTGGAGGGCCCCGGTGTGGTAGCATTCTGATATCTACTATATCAGACCTTTCCAACTCTTGCTCCCATTTCTTCTTCCTAGCAAATGCATCCTCAGCAGCCTTAAGATTAGCCTCTGGATGAAGACCCACTATAATGAAGTGTTCAAAAAGTGAGGTGGGCTCCTTGTATTTCTTACCGTCCTGCACAGCATTCCCCGTCAAATTAATATAATCAAATGAGATCATACATAGATCTCACTATGAGCCCAGACAGTCAAACCAAATAACAAGAGCTAGAAAATGAAAGGTCCAAAAGTGTGCATGGTGAGGATGGTTATTGTTATGGAATATATATTTGATATATGGAATCTCTATAGATTAGACAGTCTTAGAGATTTAGGTAGGTAGACATATGGAAACTTGTTTCCTATTTGTAGTCTTCTAGCACTTATTTATAGGGCTCTGTATTCTCTTTTCTATATGACAGTTTGAGATAATATACGACAGCACATTCAGAAATCCTCTCTTTACTTTTGTAACATGGCATCATGAAAGCTATTCATGTTTGGCATGGGAAGAACTATAATCAGGTGGTCTAGATATGTATCTGTAAGAAAGCACTAGAGAATTGAAGCGATGTATTAAGCAAAAATCAAGAGCTTGACATCAGGATAGTAGCATACCACCGTTTTTGAATGAAGCTGATACCATTGCCGCTTTTGATTGGCCAGAACCTCAGGATTGAAAGAAGAAAACGGGCCTTCTCCCTGAAAATTATTCCCCCAACGCAAAGCTCTTTGCATATGTGTCTTCCATTTCGGAACATTATTATTGCCACTCCTATCAATTGAAGATGGCACTACTTCACTCTGGCTTCTTCTATGCGCTGCCCGTGCTGGTGGAAGACCGAAACTACCCGAGACATTCTGTAGCGCCTCAGAGGTTCGCTGTGACACCTGACGAGGCGGTAGTTGCCAGCCCTCTAGCAACTCACTTTCTTTTGCTATCATTATAACACCCTAAGAATATGCTCACACATTAACTAAAATCTTTCCTTTTGCCAAAACCATGATAACTACCATCACTAACTAACATCATAAACTTCAATCTATGGCCCTAAACACACATCAAATCTAGCAAAATCATAACCCAATCCAGGAGTTAAGTAAAAAGTAAAAAGAGTGCTACTCTAACCTCAAATTGACAACTTCAAGAATCTGGGTTTCAATGAGCATGATTGTTCTCTGCTTGTAGAATCCACACCTATTAAACACCCTGTAAACACTGTTGAAGAAAAGATGGAAAAGAAAAACAAAAAGTCATATAAAAATGCTATCTTGAGCCTCAAATACAACATTTTCAGAACAGATACACCACCCCTTTGCCCAAAATTTGAAAAATATGAGCATGCATTCAACCAACCATTCCAGTTTCCTCTGAAATCTAAAACACCCACCAGATTAATGCACGTACAATGGGTAATGAATAACCAACCCGAGTTAACTACCCACAAATTACCATCGATTAAGAACATCCCTTACATCTCTACATATACATACAATAACCCATATAGAATCCACATATGCCCACAGCAATACCAGGTGAAATTGTTGGAAAAAGAGTATGTGATCGTTATACCCACTTACAAAAAGTTTGATTTTTTGATGGTTTATGGTATGGGTTTGATGGTGATTTGTACGGCGTCTGTCTTGGATGGGGATGCCGGCTGCGGCGTAGACAATCTTCCGAGAATGGCAGACAGGGAGGGACATGCAAAACGGAAAATGTTTTCTGTTATGGTTTAACCCGAAAACACATCAATACATGTCCGAGGAGACACGTCCAAATCAAGAATGGAAAATCAGAGTCCTTTGCCTATTTTTGCATAGTGGGATTAATCCCCATGTCATTTAATATTCTGATTCAATTGTGAGAACTGAGAAGTTCAATGGAATTCATAATATAATCAAAAATAAATGGTACAACTTATAATGTTTGTTTATTTAATCACAGTTTCTTCTTAGTACACTCATAATATTTGGTTATATAATTATGTGAAACGTGTAATACTTTGATCACATATAATGTATTGTGCATTCCATATAATGTAATATGTTTTTAGTTTAATGAACTATAATGTTGGTTCAATTTAATTGTATGATAATAGTATACATCTTCGATCTTCGAGAATATAAGTGATATTTTTTTATTAAATAATGAAGAAAAATTATAATCACTATTTGAAAATATGTACCAAATAAATTTTACTGATATAAATTTTGCTCAACATTAAATATAAACAATATTGAATTAATATCCAAAATCGTCCTTGACGATAGTGGTTTTTCTCAATTTCATCTTAAACGATTTTGGTGACCTAATATCGTCCCAGACTTTTGTGTTTCGCTCAATTTAGTCTCAGACTTTTGTGTTTTTGCTCAATTTAGTCCCTCATTTGTTATTCTGTCTATTTGGTGTTAAATAAATAGACAATTCAGTAATTTTAATATTGGCATCTCTTTACTCATAGACATGTGAACTGCGAATTTTTTTTTTTTTTTTTACGAATTACTCCTAAAACTGCGAATATAAAATTTGATTTGCAGGTCCGGGAGTAATTCTGGGTGTAATTCGTACAAGAAAGAGGAATTTCGCACTTTACAAGTTGAAAGTAAAGAGAGATCAATATTGACATTACTGAATTGTCCCTTTATTTAACACCAATTTGACGGAATAACAAATTGAGGACTAAATTGAGCGAAACACAAAAGTCTGGGACGATATTAGGTCACTAAAGTCGTTTAGGACGAAATTGAGAAAACCCACTATAGTCGATGACGATTTTGGGTATTAACTCAAACAATATTGTTGTTGTCCGCATGGATAATTTAGTTGGTCACAGAATGAAATTTGGGAATAATGATTTAGTATTGAGTCTCACTAACAGTAGTGCGGGAACAACTTTTCAAAGTGAAAAGAGTTTCTTGTGTGCAGTAAACAAAAATTTATTGTGTACAATAAGCAAAAGTCTAATCTATGTATTCAGTTAAGTTACCGTGATTTATATTCTCTTAGATACTCAATCAGATCAACACGTGAAATGTGTTTAAGATTGGGGATTCAACATTTAGGAATAACAATATTGTTGTAGTAATTAATGGGTGGGAAATGAATGCAATAAAAGGACACGTGGAGGAGGCAGTAGCAGAGAGATAGTGTTGAGATTTGAGAAGGTGAGAAGCATTAAATGGGGAGGTGTTCTTGTTTCACGGAATTTTGTGTAGTTTCCACGTGCTTTTTGCCTCCCCTTGCCCCTCCACCATTAAATTTACATCAATTTATTTAATGTTGTGTCTCGATGAATAAAATTTTTAAAACTCAGAATGCGTTTGGTTTGCACATGAGAATCAGAATCAGAATGTGTATTAAATATTTAGTAATGGTAATAGATTTTGGTGAAAGTATTTTGCATGTTTGGTAGTATGATAGAATGGGAATGATTATACTAGGATGAATAATCGAATGAAATCCTTATAAAATAAGGGAATGAATTTTTTCATTAATAGGGTATTCCAAACCCATAGTAGTGTTTTGAAAACCAGTCAACCGAACAATAACAATCACTTTCATACTCATACCTGAGTGCTAAATCTGACAACCAAACACACCCTCAGCAATAACTCAGTAGTATATTAAGTGAGAGGATCAATGGTTGGTACTAACAAGGAGTCTACCATAAAAAAAAACAAGGAGTCTACCATATTGAGTATAACTCTCACAGTGTGATTATCAGGGTCCAATTCTATGTTATTGCCAACAATCTCCCACCCAGAAGCCAAATGAATTGTCCATGCAAATAAAGTATTTTAAGTTGGTACTCTTTTTAGTCATTTATCAGATAAAATTACAATATGAGTTTCATCTTAAGCACACATTCGAATAACTGCGAACTTTCTCCCCTCTCGTTTTTGTATCATCACTGAAATATTGTCAAAAAGGTTGATATATCTTCTTAAGAAATTTACACCATGAGACCATATTATGCTTGTTTTTTTAAAGTGATTTTTTATTTAAATTATATATAACGAATCACATTTTGTTTAAGGTAACAAAAAATGATTCAACAATTTAGGACAATTTGTAAACAAACTATTAATACAAAATTTACAATGTTAGATGATTAACTTTGATAGACATGTGTCATACTAATACATATTTATTAAAGGTTTTTTTTAGAGTGATTCTCGCAGATGCAATCCTGCAATTGAAAGAGTTGACCTGATAAATAAATCTAACAGCTATATAATTTGTACAGAAATGGTGAGGAATTATTTACCAATCAATTAAGTAGAATGCTAATGATATGATCAGCTTCCAACCTTAGGAGCTTTTGCTGGTTAGAGTGATAAAACAAAGTTCACACAAAATATATTTTAAAATACTCAGTAGACTTTCTTGTAAATCAAAATTTTCAACCTCATTATTAATTATACATTGACACTCCAATTATTACTGTATACATCATGATCCACACAGTTGTGTCCATACTATCAAATAATGAACATTTAATACACAAATAATATATTTTTAATATATTAAAAATATACATTATATTCAAAAAAAATACACAAATAATATATTTTTAATATATTAAAAATGTACATTATATTCAAGAAAAATACATTATTTGAGTACTGAAAATACATCATTTTGTATAATGTATATTCAGTACACGGATAATGTACTTTTAATATATTAAAAATGTACTTTTTATTATGATCCACACAGCATTGTGTCGTAAATTATGCCCTGGAAACGTCTCATGGTGAACACGGGTCCAAACGGCACCGTTTTTACGTAAAAAAAAAAAAAATCACAGATTTGGTGTTAACGACGCGCGTTTGGTCAGATTATGAATTTTCTGTTATGAGATTATGAATGTACTGTAAATTCATAATCTCATAACAGAAAATTCATAATCGCATAAAAGAAAAACATTTATTAAATTATGAATTTTCTGTTATGAGATTATGAATTTACTGTAAATTCATAATCTCATAACAGAAAATTCATAATCTCATAACAGAAAATTCATAATTTATGAATGTTGAAGAAGCTTGCGTTACAGAGGAGCAGTCATGTTTTCGGACAGGAATGTGTAGGCAAGGGTCCAAAGTGAATATGCAGGCAGCAGTCATGGTGGGGTCTAAAGTGAATGTGCAGGCATGAATTCATAATTTATGAATGTCCGAAATCATTGCTCACCTCAAATTAAAGTGAAACCGCGAAATGTGAAAATGAAGAAGAAAAGTCTCGCGATTAATTAAGGAAAAAAAAAAAGATAACGGTGCACTAACGCCGTTGGGACCGTGTTCACCATGGATGGTGAACAACGTTCCATGGCATAACGATTGGCATTGTGTGGATCATGGTCCACACAATAATTTGCTTGACACCTCTAGAGCACAACTCTACTGATCAACCAATCCAAAATAGTTTCATAACCTTTGTTTTGCTAACACTCACGGACGGATTTAAATCGTTCTACAATTTACCTCCTCCACCAAGTCTCTAGAACAAGAGTAGGGAATTCACCCGTACTTTATGACAATAAAAAGTTTTTCTTTTTTAATCAGAGAGTAGTAATTATAAGGGCAAAATACATTATCTAAGGATTTTAGATCTGTCGGCTAGCAAAAAACTAGAAACTGTAACCTCAATTGCCTCAAATCAGGACCACCAGATCCTTAGAAAATGAAGGCAGATAATTGACAGACATGAACATCTGTTATTTGGGGTCTGAAGTTGGGATGCTCAATGGGGGTTTTCATTCAATTTTTGTAGGGTTTAGGTCCTCCAACAATTCACAGATGAGACCCATACCTTTAATGGGTTACTAACAAAACATAAATGAGGAAGCTTAAAGATGTAAATAGGGATTGCCAACAATGCATGTCTCCAAAAACAGATAATCAACAAATAGCATCTTATTGAAGTGATCCAACTGAAGGAGAGGAGTCCAAACCAAACAAAAAGTTGAAAGCCCGCTTAACAAGAAGCTTATGCATCCATATTCAGCACGACGCGAAGGCAGCCTCCATCGTGCATCAGATCGAAAGCTTGGTTGATCTCTGCAAGTGTCATATTGTGGGTGATGTACTCGTCCACTTTGATTTCCTGTTAAATGGGCATTTCATTTCAGTCAATGGTGTGATTTCAGGGGAAAAAGAAAACACATAAGGTGCACTCGGCTGTCAAAACGGGTTAGTCCAACCCATACGGACTGGCCGTCTCTGGTTCATCCAGACACGGGTTGGGATTTTTCCAACCCAACACGTGTTAGGCGGGCTGACGGGCTAAACGAGCCAGCCCGATGGGTTGGAAATTCTCAAACCCAGCCCGTCTAAAATACATATTAAACGGCCTCAACCCGGCGGGTTGGACTTGTTTTGACAGCTCTTCACTGCACTGTAATAGAGGGAAGAAAGTAGGGGACGTTGGTGTATTCACTCACCTTCTTCATGTATTTCTCCACGAGCCATGGTACTTGTGAGCGACTCTTGAAACCGCCAAATGCAGTTCCCTTCCAAACACGGCCTGTCACCAGCTGGAATGGACGGGTTGCTATCTCTTGGCCGGATGCTGCAACGCCTACAATAACTGATGTTCCCCATCCCTACAACAATTTCAAAAGATTTTTTGGATCTTAAATAATGGCACCCCATACAGTTTTTTGCATCTTAAAAAAAAAAAAAAAAAAAAAAAAAAAAACCGAGAACAGTAATTATGTGCATTGTCACCTTATGACAACACTCTAGAGCGGCCCTCATCACTTGGACATTCCCAATGCACTCGAAGCTGTAGTCAACACCACCATCAGTTTGATCTACAATAACCTGCTGTATTGGTTTGTCATGGTCTTTTGGATTGATGAATTCAGTCACACCAAAATTCTTAGCTGCATTGAAGGAAAATGAAATAATCATGTTAGTTTATCCGTGGAAAATGTTATGCCTTGATACACACAAAAATATTTATGACTGCCCGAATATACATGAAAAATTATCCAAGTACTTATTCTTAGTGTATTGGAGATCAAGATACAAAGAACGCTCCATCAGTCCATCACATGCATAAAATTCACTGATGTGTAATCAGTTTATGACAACAGCACACAACTAATATATATAGGTCGTCAATGCAAGATCAAGCTACCTGTGTCAAACTTTTTGCTATCGATATCTATCCCAATGACTCGTGAGGCACCAGCAGCTTTAGCACCCTCTGCCACCTACGAAGCAATTAAAAGCTCATTGTTACTTGGAGAATAAAGTGATTAAGAACAAGATTACCAACACAACAGTATTGTCAGGAAATTACAGCAAGACCAACAGTCCCAAGGCCAAAGACAGCAACAATAGAACCTGCTTCAACTTTTGCAGTGTTCCAAACTGCTCCAAGACCTGAAGACCAAAAATATAAGATGTAAATAACTAAAAACAATATGCTAACGTAGTTTTAGTTTCATACACAAAACATTGATGAAAGAATTGATACAAGTTCAATCGATCTGAAAATGCACAGAATAAACTCCCTAAGATAAAAATGTCATCCACGTGCAACAAGAATTCCTCATGGGAGAAGAAAAGCAGTTAATATTTATCAGTTAAAGCTTGAGTTTTGTAAAGAACAACAAAAACAGATAGAAATTGACAATATAAACAACCACTGGTATGAAGTGTTGAAATCTTGTCATTTTATTTTCTCCCGATGAATAGGGCAACGAAGCTATAGTTATAGAAGTCTACAGACATGAGGGACTTAGAAGCAATAAAGGTAACAAGTTCAAAATCAGATAAAGTAGGGGACATTCTATGATTAACATTTTGTTGTTCTCTTTATCTCTTCTTCTCAGTTGCCTCTGTTCTTTCTTTCCCCTAGTTCTTAAATGTATTAGGAGTCACAAGCTGGGGTTGAAAGAAGGGTATATGTGAAGTACATATAGAGATAATGTCATATTCACACTATCAATCAGCTATAAAGGAAAATTAACAGGCAGGTTAAAATTTTAATCAGATTCAAGAAAACAAAAAACATCACCTGTTGGAACACCACAGCCAAGAAGGCAGACTTTGTCCAAAGGAGCATTTGGGTCAATCTTAGCAACACTAACATCATGGACAACTGTGTATTGACTGAACGTAGAGGTTCCCATGAAGTGATAGATGGGCTTTCCATTGATTGAAAATCGGCTCTTGCGGTCATTCATCATGATCCCAACTCCAGTAGCACTCCTCACTTTTCCACAAAGATTGGTCTTTCCCGATTTGCAAAACTTGCACTCCTTGCATTCTGCCTGATAGCAAGGTATAACATGGTCTCCAGGCTGCACCTCAGTCACACCTTCACCAACACTTTCCACTATACTGCATTTTTTTCAATTAAGAAAAACAATGAAAAATGAACATTGAACCAATGATTTTAATTAAGATTTTATGATACACAATGAGCACATAGCCACGTACCCTGCAGCTTCATGACCAAGGATACATGGGAAGAGACCTTCAGGATCCTTCAGAGAGAAAAGACACAATGTCTCAGATAATAATACAAAACACTTCTTACTAAAATCAAACAAAACAATTTCGTAGTTTGCACTCTTCAATTAAAACATTTCATTTCAGATATCAGAATTCAGAAAGTTTCCCGAAACATTGTAGTAGTTATTTAGTAATTGGAGAACTCTTATTGGTTACAGGAAACATGTTTACATAATTACATTTCAATATAAAATGAAGCACTAAAAAAATATTGCAAGTCTATCTACCAACCACCACCAAAACATTTAGAACATGTATAAACAATTCACGTTCAGAATTACAGCAATCTTAAATTAGGAAGGTCAAATCCAAGCTCCCTTGCTCCTTGTACATCTTTCCCTTGCTCAAATAAATAGTAGAAAACCGAACACATCACAAAATTCCATCATATACACCATTTTTATCATACACACACGAGTGAGAAAAGGCGAAAGAGAGGAATAGACCTTGCCGCTCCACGTATAAGCATCGGTGTGGCAGAGAGCAGTGAAGAGAACCTTAACTCGGACTTCCCCGGCCTGCGGCGGCGCCACCTGCACGTCCTCGATCACCAAGGGCTTGTTGGGTTCCCAGGCTACCGCAGCTTCACAATCACAATCACAAACAATCAAACAAACAAAAAAAATCACATTAACCACGATCAGATCCCTCTCAACCTTACAGAATTACATCAACTGGTAGCAAATCCGTGCGAGTTGAGTTCCCCGCATAAACCTACATATCAGATATGCGCAGAATCGAGAATGAACAGTACCTTTGCAGGTGATGACTTGACCTTGAGTGGCCATGAATCACAACCACGAAAAATTGATTGCAGGCTGGCGAGTTGCTAACGAGAGAGTGAGTGACTGTGCGCGCGTGATGAAGAGGACGAACAATACGCAGTACTCCTTTTATAGCTCCCTGGACTGCTGTGGAAAATTGGAAATGGATATACTACCAAACATTTTCCCTTTTATTGGGCTAGGGCTCATTTGGGCATTGATGCGGCCCATACTCCCTAAATAGTACGGAGTAATTACTATGGCCTTATCTATCTATATCTATATCTATATATATATATATATATATATATATATATATATATATATATATATATATATATATATATATATATATATTTATATTTATATTTGTAGTAAAACTTATTTGGTAAATAAATGTCAAATGGAAATTAAATAAATAATAATAATATAATATATAATAATAATAATAATAATAATAATAATGTTATTACCTTAAATAAATAAATTATTATACTTTCCTTTTGAATTAGTATTTTCTACCTATAAATACAAGAGCTTCTTCAATCAAAGAATCTCAGACTCATATTTCTGCTTTCTTTTTGTATGAATTTTCTACATTTTTCTAACTATATTCTCACGTACTTCAATATGTTTTGCAGATTGGACATCATGAATAGCTTCATCAACGATATCTTCTTGAAGCTCGTCCAAGAGGTGGCTCGCTTGGCCCACTAAAACAAGAAGCCGATAATCACATCAACAATATCGGCTTCTTGTTGTAGTGGGCCAAGCGAGTCACCTCTTGGGCGAGTTTCAAGAAGATATCGTTGATGAAGCTATTCATGATGTCCAAACTGCAAAACATATATATTGAAGTACGTGAGAATATAGTTAGAAAAATGTAGAAAATTCATACAAAAAGAAATCAGAAAGATGAGTCTGAGATTCTTTGATTGAAGAAGCTCTTGTATTTATAGGTAGAAAATACTAATTCAAAATGAAAGTATAAAATAATTTATTTATTTAAGGGAAAGTATAATAATTTATTTATTTAAGGTAATAACATTATTATTATTATTATTATTATTATTATTATTATTATTATTATTATTTAATTTCCATTTGACATTTACTTACCAAATAAGTTTTACTACAAAAATTTTGGGGGGAAAATTTGTTAGGAGGATTTTACTTATATATATATATATATATATATATATATATATATATATATATATATATATATATATATATATATATATGGGAAAATGACACTTTTTACCCCTGAGTTATATACTTATAGCACTTTTTCCCCCTCAATTATTTAGGTAAGCACATTAGCCCCCTCAATTATTCTAAAAGTGGTGCTTTTTCCCCCCTTATATATTAAATTGACATTTATACCCTTAAAGTAAACATTTTATTTATTTTACTACTCCAACAAATTATTGCGTATACGTAGAGATGACCACAGTTCGGTTTGAATTGAACCGGATACTAAAGCAATCGAATTAATAGTTTACGATTATAATTCATATCTAGAACCCAATATTTAAATGTCAATTTATTTGAATCTTGAACCGTGAACCGGCGGTTCCGGATCTGATTCGCGATTTTGAACCGTCTTTATTTTAAAATTGTATTTTTTATTTTAAAATAGTCTAAATTCAACAATAAATGTATTTTATTTTTTCAGTTCGGAACATGAACCGTCCGTTCCGGTTCACGATTTTAACAAACTCTAAATATCGAATTTCGATTCTAAATTGTAATTGGAATATTTCGATTTGGTTGCTATAGTGTTTGTTTAGTTTGAACCAAATTATGGTCATAATTTGGTGGAGAAAAAAAATAAATTAAATATTTAATTTAAGGGTAAATATGTCCAATTAACATTTCAGGGGGAAAAACAGCCACTTCAATCATTTAGGGGGAAAAAATGCTATAGATATATAACTCAGGGAGAAAAAGTGTCATTTTCCCTAGATATATAGATGTTACTAATGGACATGGAAATCAGGCCAATTAATCAACAATTATTAGAAAAATGAATAAAAATCAATATTAATTCTTTTTATGAAGGAAAAAAAAAAAGAAATATATATTCAAAAGGAAATGAAATATGAAGAAAAACGAATGAATATGTTTATATTTCACTATAAATATAATACAGCTTTTGGCATAGATATCAGACCAAAAGAAAAAAGAAATTAATATTAAAAATGGACTCGAATTAAAAAAAAAATGTACTTAATAAGTAAATAATTAATTTGCTACACAAAAAATTAGGGTAAAGGAAAAAGGAAATGATTATTAAACACGTACCAAATTGTTTTTGTGATTGAAAATTAATATTACAAACGTACCAGATTGTTTTTATGACCAGAAATAGGAATGAATTTTATACACGAAAGTCTATTATTAATATTATGTTACTAATAGGCATGGGAATCATGCCAAATGAAAAAAGGATTTAATATTAAAAATTTATTGGAAATATAACACAATTTTCCCTACAAAAAAAAAAAAAAAAAAATAGTAACCACCAAATGAAATATTAGGAAAAAATTATGAAGGAAAAAGAAATGGACACAAATATTAACTCTTTTTATATCAATATAAATTAAAATTAATGAAATTATATTATAATTTTCCTATATACATATTAATAAATATTATGTGTATATACAATGTATTATACAATCATATAAGGATATGCGTCCGATTAGAGTTTATATTTGTTCATACAAAATTTAGAATTTACATTTTTATTGATTTCTAAGTACAATTCTCTTAGTTATTATTATTCATATTTTTAGAATTAATAATATATATATAATACAATTTGGAAAAAATCAACTTTTTTTTTTTTTTAGAGTTACTGGCTCTATTATATTGTAGTATCTGTTCATATACTTTCTCAACCTACTGAAACACAAAGAACCAAAGAACCAATAACGCCTCCACTAAGGCTTGAACTCATAATCTTCCAATTGGAAGTCCAACCCGGATACCATTAGACCACATAGTCCTGGTAAATCAACTTAATTATATGAATTTTTTCTATAAATTTATCTAAATATGTACATGATTAGAGATTATATTAACCCTTCAAAATTTAAATTTAAATTTTGTATGTTATGAAAATAGATACTTGACCAAATATATAAAAGTCCAACTATATTATTATATTGTACATTTTAACATTTTTTTTTATTTTTTATTTTAATTTTAAATTCATAAAAACAAAAAAAACAAAAAAAAAAAAAATTCCGTGCAACACACGTGTAAAACACTACATTTAAAAAAAATACAATTTCATAAATATCATAAATTAATTAGTACAATATCATTTATATTTATAACAATTAAAGAAAAAAATAAATAATTTCAAATATATGAACCAATGATTTCAAAATGAAACTAATATACAGTTACAAATAAATATAGCATGATTAGATTTACTTTAATTAGTTTTAATTCCCTTAATGATATGACTTTTCTTTATCAATTTTTTGTGGGAGACTAAGATAGTGTTTGAGTTGCTGGAAATTATTATTATTATTTGAATACTTACTAATAAAAAAAAATTAAAATATTTTTTACCCCCCTCCCCTTCCCCTCAATAACATGTGTAAATCTTATATTTTTTAAAATTACAATTTGATAAATATTATAAATTAATCAGTAGAATATCATTTATGTTTATAAATTATAATAATTAAAAAAAAAATTCATATATGTGAACCAATGATTTCAAAATGAAATTAATATACACTTACAAATAAATATAGCATGATTTGATTTACTTTAATTAATTTTAATTTCCTTAATGAAATGACTTTTCTTTTATCCGTTTTTTATGGGAGGCTAATGGAGTGTTTGGATTGCTATAAAATATTTTAAAATAAAAATTCATACTAATAAAAAATTTATTTTAAAATATTTTTTTAACCCCTCATAACATGTGTAAATCTTATATTTTTAAAAAATACAATTTGATAAACATCATAAATTAATTAGTACAATATCATTTCTGTTTATAATAATTAAAAAAAAATAAATAATTGAAATATGTGAACCAATTATATCACAATAAATCTTTCAAAATTTAAAACAAAAGAACAGAAATTAAAAATAGAACGAAAATATTTCAATAATAATATTCTACATCATCAAGTAAAAGTAAATTAAAAATGAAAATATAATATTTCAATAATAATATTCTGCATCATCAATAGTAAAGGCATATTTTAAACAATAGTAAAGGTAAATTAAAAATGGAACGGAAATATTTCAATAATAATATTCTACATCACCAATTAAAAATAAAACTGAAATTAGGTAAAAATACCATTGCATATGATATTCTAATTGATTAATTGACGGAAAATAAAAAGAATAATTGGTTGAAAATGAATATGATATTACTAATTGACTGATATTTTACGATGATATATTTTCACCCAAGTCACCCATTCTAATAGACTGAAGATGTTAGTTATAGACGATGACGGACAAGATTATGTTGCTACTACCAATGTCGTCTACAATATGAGGTTTTAATAATGTGTAAATACAATTGGTGATATTATGTTTTTTTTTAATGACAAAATTGCTATATATCTACACACAAAAAAATAAAATTTTTTAAAGCAATTTAGACAAAAAATATATATATTTTTCATACAAATGAATTAGGATAGCAATTCATTCCTATAACTGAGTTGCTAAAGAATGAGCACGTTTGCCTAATTTATAAAAATACTAAACAATGATAAGTAAAAGCTTCAAAGTTACAACACTGCATGCGTATATCTACACATTAGCTATTAATTTGAGCAATTATTTGTTTAAATTCAAGCAACGATAACATCAAAACATATAAACGATCCAAACTATATCTTCAATTGCATTATATAATATTTAATGTTCTAATTTAAATAATTATATATCAATCCAGATATTCTTAATATATTACAACAAATTCACGGGCGAAACCATATCTTTAATTGCACTATATAATATTTGAGTTATTACTGAAAAAAATCAGTCTTTAATCACGGTTAATTGTATGTTACTTTTTTCCGAGTCACCCATCCTGATAGTCTGATAGTTTTAACTTTAGA